GATATAGCCAGGTCGTTTTTGGTTGTTTTTTTTTTCAGACAGTGATACACTTTATTAATATGTTTCTTGGAAAACTTCCTGGAGAGGAGAAATCAGTTCTCATTTTTAAATACTCTAGACAGCTTGTTATGGCTTAGGCTGAAATACCAAACTAATGCCAGTAGAACAAGCACATCTGAAATCCAGTACGCACATTTATGTGGTCCTTGTTGATTCCAAGAGATTTATTTGATTAAACACGTAAGCAGAAATATTACTCAGTCATTTGTTATTTGGAAAATCTATGTTTTTAAAATGAACCAGGAGTTACAATAAATTCAATTTCCCATTAAATTGTTTTAAGCATCTGCAAGATGTCATATAGTTGTTTAACAAACTTCTTCCTGCATTGCCATGAAGAAGGTTCACACGTTGAAAACTGGGCATTTAGAAGGATATAAGCCCAATGGAGACAACGAGATTGTATTAAAGTAACATGGATTTTCCTTTTCTCCTCTTTACATACTCTTTTTTTCCATTTATTATACATGCACATAAGTAAACATGTGTAAATGGTAAAAGATGGGTCATACTGCTGAGAGCTTACACTTTTTGATTTGAAGAATACAGAATACCACACACACAAAGCAAATAGATACCTTTCTAACATTCATCAGAAAATTAGACATTTTAAGCATAGACTCATGTTTCCCAATTAAATCTTTGCAGCATATGCAAATACTATGAACGTTCAAATGTTTGATTTTTCAACATAGCAACGTTGTTTACAATAGGCAAGAGCTAGAAGCAGCCTAAGTGCTCAGCAATAAATGAGTGCATCAAAAAACTGTGGTGCATTTACACAATGGTATACTACACAACAGAAAGAAAGAAGGAATTCCTACCCTTTGCAACAGCGTGAATGGAACTGGAAAGCATTAAGCTAAGTGAATTAAGCCAGGCAGTGAAAGACAAATACCGTATCATCTCACCTATAAGCAGAACTTAATCAACAAAACAAACAAGCAAGCAAAATAGAACCAGAGACTTGGAAATAAAAAACAAAAATGGACAGTGACCATAGGGGAGAGGGGAGGGGAATAATGGGGGACCGAATGGGAAGGGGCAACAGAACCCGAAGAGAGGACGATGACGGAGATTGACTGTGGGAGCGGGGGGATGGGACGGAGGCAGGCAGAGGGAAAAGAGGCGTGGCAGCTGTAACTCAACAACAATTAAACAGACAAACTTGGGACATATATTTTTAAAAAAAGAGTTGATTATCTACAATGCGAAAATACTTCAGATGATGACAGGTTTACTATTTCAAATAGTCCTGTCAAGTACCATTAAACATTTTGTAAAACACTTTTTAAGTCCCTACATGGATTAAATTTATATTATTTTTCTACTATGAGGAATATAGTGTGATCATTGCCTGTTTATTGCTCAAGAAAGAGTTAGATCCTAGAAATGAAACCTTGATCAGATGTTGCTGTATACAACTTCAAACACAGATTAACCACCACAGATTAATGTTTGATTCTGTAGATAAGAAAATTCCCATTCAAATATTTGGTAAAACAAAACATATGGAAAAAAATAGTGCTCTTGGAATAACTTTAAAAAATAATTTAGAAAATAAAATGGTGTAAAATGCTGTAACCATAGTATATAGGTAGTGTTTCCTCCAACAATCATTAAAGATGCAGTTAAACCAGACCTTTTTTAGCAGTCTTCTTTTTATTCTGTTATGACTCTTTTAAAGATGGTTTTCTGCACCAAAACTGACCATATTTACTCACACTTTGGCCCATTATCTTGAAAAAGTGTAAGGAAAATATGCACACAAGTCAATTTATTTGAAGTTGAAATACACGCTTGTTCTATTTTAAGAAAAGCTTGATGTTTGAAACATTTCATTTGTCAGACGCCAATAGAAATATTCCTTAAGTATGCAATGAAGCCAGTAATAAAATATTAGTAATGAAAAATGCACTTGTCCAAAGTCCAGTAACTATTTTACAGCTATATAGAATCACATAAAGATGTAAGACATGTTCTAACACACAAATAGTTGAATAAAATATTTGCTTTGGTATCAAAAAATGTTTCACTGATTTTTATTATTCTCTTCCCCCTATTTTTTATATAGCATGCCCAAAATAGAGAAACAAACTTGGGGAGAAATTATGGTTATAAAGGCATTCACGTGGGCGATGACCTCAAATTTAAACTATATTCTTACCCTAGGGATGATGAAAGTAACTTGAAGAACCATTCTTTTTCATCCTTTACCATCAGGCAGCCTCTACATTTCATGGAAGAAAATGTTAAAATCCTTCATTTTAAAAAGGAAAACTGAACTTTGTAAGGCCATTTTTACTTCATCAGTGTCATTACAGAAAAATATTTTTAGCAAAATATGTGAAAAAATATTTAATGAATGAATGTATTTCATTCTGAAAATTAAATCAACAGATTATCTAACAATATTATTCTCTTAAATTTTCTTTTTTTTTCTTTTTTTGTCTCCACCTTCCCTCCACCACTTTCCTCTGCCCCCGTCCCCTGCCCCCTCAATCCTTCTCCACTTTGCCTTTGTCCATGGCTCCTTTATACATGTTCCTTGACTTGACCCTTCCCTTCCCTTTCCCCACCCACTCCTCCCTCCTTCCCTCTTCACTATGTTGGTTTCTTTTTTCTTTCAATATTGCTGGTTATATTTTCCTTGTTTGTTTGTTTTGTTGGTTAAGTTCCACTTATAGGTGAGATCGTATAGTATCTGTCTTTCGCCCCCTGGCTTATTTCACTTAGCATAATGCTCTCTAGTTCCATCCATGCTGTTGAGAAGGGTAGTAGTTCTTTTTTTTTTTCTGCTGCAAAGTATTCCATTGTGTAAATGTACCATAGTTTTTTGATACACTCATCTACTGATGGGCATTTAGGTTGCTTCCAACACTTGGCTATTGTAAATTGTGCTTCTATGAATATTGGGGTGCATAGGTTCTTTTGAATTGGCATTTTGGGACTCTTAGGGTATAATCCCAGCAGTGGAATCACTGGGTCAAAAGGCAGTTCCATTTTTAGCTTTTTAGGAAATTCCAAACTGTTTTCCACACAAATTTTAATTAGCAGGACTTTCTACCTAAAATACACATATGTCCCTTAGCTTTATATACATACATAAAATAATTCATATGTATATACATGAAACTAAAAGAATCTTGCAAGATGTATATATCTTGCAGTCTTTCGTAAGTGTGTTTCTACCATCATCTTACTACCAGTAAGAAAAAAGATTGTGCATTGATCAAGGTTTAGCCTTGGTTCTTTACATTTTAATGGATGAGTCTTAAAAGGTTTATAATATACCCAAAGTCAATACAAAATTTATGTGTAATATCTTGCACCTTTCTGATGAGTGGATTTACAACTTTCCCAACAGTTGGGAACAACTATTCAAGGTGAAAGAAAGCCACAGCTGAGTGGCAGCGGAATAGAGGGTGCAGGCACTGTGGTACGGTAGCCATTTTTAAATCCCACCTTTCCATGGTTATGTAATCTGCATTATATTTCTTAATATCTCTCAGCCTCAGTTTTCTAATTTTAAAAATAAAGAGAATAACTAGACATATTTCAGAGGTATGAGTTCGGGGTCTTGTCAATGTGTTCATATCATCAGATATTTTTTGTAAAATTTGCAGTTTTGTGTATTCTTTTAATGGAGACATCCCCAACTGCATAACTCATACACTACCAAAATCAGATCCTACCCTTTTCCACCTGAAGAGTTTTATTGAAGATTAAGTCAGATAGCACATGTAAAGGTTTAGGACTATGCCTAGAACACAGGAAACATTTGATTAATGTTCACAATCATTATTTTTATCAACTCTTATAGACAATTTGTTTGTGTCTATTCTTTCCTTTGCTACATACAATTGAGAATTTCATATATTAAATAGCATAGATTAGGGATGTTTAAGAAAGGGCTTAGTATACTGTTTTCTTTCTACTCAGCAAATTTGGAAAGAGAAAGAGTATGAAATATATTAATCCAAATGTTATACTTATTAATCCATACTTAAGAAGAAAAAGCTTTAGAATTTAATCAAGACCATCATTTTTATTTTAGCAAAAAAAAAAATCCGAGACACTTATTCAGAAAAGTACTACGACACCACACAAAGTAAACTTGCCTTGTCATGTGGCTGTTACAAAAAAGAATGCGTAGATTGTCGAACTCATCAGAATTACACAAATCTTACCATAGCTATATAGAATCATCCAAATATCCAGGGATTTAGCATTGTATCCAAAAATAACCATGCCAATTTCTTAATCACAGTTTTACAATTTGAAACATATGATGCCTGTTTTACATTTATAATGTAAATCATATTCAGATGATAACTATTTTACTACTTATAAATGTCCTCAATCCTATAAGCTACAGATATGTCATTTCTAGAAATTTTGCTTACTCACTCAAAGAATCACAATAAATATTGGTTTTGATTAAACCCCACCTTTGGATTTTCTATTATCTTATTCATACAAAGGAGAAATATACATGCACTAAGTATGAATAAAATTCACCAGAAAAATATGAGTTATATTTCTAATATTAGGAGTTTAAATATTACCCTCATACCCTCATTGAATTATTGAGTCAATATTAGAATTTATTTCCTGCTTCAAGTGAAAACAAATTTAAGGTAACACTAGCATGGGCTCTAAGAACTGCTCAAATCCTGAGGGAAAGTCAATTTATATACATGTAGGATTGTTTTTTTAAATCACTTTTAATGCTATATATATATATATATATATGAAATTTAAAATTCTGTTTTGAGAAAAATGTTAGCTATGTTTGTACTGCCTTTTGTAAGTCAATCATGACATTGTCTAATGAATCGGCTCAGAAATATTAAGAAAGAGAAAATTGCTTAATTTTGCTCTGCTCAATAGAAATAGAAGAGCAAATTGTTTTCAGGTAGTAAGTTGAAAGGCCAGAATTACAGTGCCATTTCCTGCTTCATGCTGTGCCCATTTAGCAAAATAGAATTGGTCACCACGTTCTTAGCACTGCTTTTCAGAGATGTCATCCGCACTGCAGAAGAGCTGACTAAGTAGCTGGCTGATCTCTCTGGATAGGACTTCCTCCTACAACAGAGCTGGCTATTGAAATGCCTCCTGAAGCTTTCACTGAGTAAATAAAGAGCAAATGGATTCACGCAAGAATTGCAAAAGCTCAGAATTCGGGCAACTAAGGTGACAATCATGTGGCCTAGAGATGGGTCAATCTTGTTGTAGTTGAAAGACCTATACATGTAGAGGACGTGATTTGGAAACCAACAGAAAACAAAGCAGCCCACAAAGACGAGGACAATTTTCGCCAGGCGTTTCCGAGTTTCCATCTGCAAATACAAGGAAGTAGTCCCATTAGTTAAAATGAAAGTGGAGGCAGCCACATTCGAAATATCATGCTACAAAAGGAGTAAACTTATTATAGTATGAAAACATATCCAAAAATATAAAAACTATTCATCTTCCTCAACAACATGATGATTTTAACAGTTTCATGAATCCCATTGTGGTCACGACACTATTTCCATTCATAATACTTGACAGCTTATGTAAGACTAGATGACAAATTATTAAGAAATGGCTATGTTTCTATGTAAAAACTGTGATCTTAAAAAATTCTCTTATTTTTAAATATTTTCATTTAGCTTAAAATTATTGGGTTTGTAACAGAGTACAGAGCACTTTCCCCCACAACTCATGGATGGGAGAAGCTCATGATATGGCTTCAAATTCTTTTGATAACAAAGACTAGTTTAATAATTGTGCTACCACCTGGGGCAGGGTGGATGTGACTTTAAGGTTGTATCTTGACTCATGACATAGCCAGGGAAAGCAGGGTCCCCCTGGATCATGAAGTCATTCTTGCCCTGACTGGGGATGGCAGCCAAATAAATGTAAACAATACGGGAGAACTGGCAACTGTAGCTCATGGTGGGAGGAGTCAGAGATGAGGTCACACAGGACGCTCTGGGTCAGGATTTAAAAGAAGGGCAGAAAGCCATGAGAGATTTGCCCATGCGGTTTGAAAGGGTGTAAAAGGAGCCATGCTGCCGGTAGTGAAGTAGCAGCTGTGCGGTTTGTGGGGATTCAGTCATGAGGCTTGGAAGGGAGTTAGAAGAGCCATGAGAAGCCATGATACATCCGGTCATGAAGGTAGAATCTGACATGCTGCTGGTAGTGAGATAGGAGCCATGCAGGCCGTAGGTGCAGTTCTGCCATGGGCTAGTAAGAAAGCAGGCATGCTGCTTTGATTGTGCCAGCTCTAGCTGACTCAGAAGCCACCAAGGACTTTGTCTTACAAGACCTGCTGCCTTGCAAACCCAGACTTTATGTGGATTCTTGAGACTTGTGCCTTTCCTGAACTTCACCATGATCCAGTGCACCATGGCACATGTTTTTCTGGACTATTACATGGAGGCTGATGACAGCATAGCCCAGATCCTGAAGGACGGAGCTGCTGGGTGAGGATGGCAACTTTGGTACCTTCCAGAGAGACTGAAGAACTGTTGGTGCAGCCGGTATAAGGTAAGAATACAGGGAACTATTAGGTTTGCTTTTGGCCTATAGCGTTTTGGGGAACAAGGGAAGTGCTGGGTCTCATGGGAGAACAGGGCTCCAAGCTGAAGTCTTCTGAGCTGCCCCAAGGTTAGAATATTGTAAATAAAGGCCTGTTCCTTCCAGCATTAATTGTCGGGTCATTCACCAAGGCACCATGTGGACAGGCCTCCATCTGCTCGGTTTCATGTTCACTTTAATTATAAATCACTTGTTTGTATTAAATCCACTGAATGAACCATAGAATATATTCAACCCTGCATTTTTTTTATTTTTTAAAAGATTTTATTTATTTATTTTTAGAGAGAGGAGAAGGGAGGAAGAGAGGGAGCAAAACATCAATGTGCAGTTGCCTCTCACGCACCCTTCCACTGCGGACCTTGCCTGCAATCCAGGCAGGTGCCTTGACTGGGAATCAAACCAGTGACCCTTTGGTTGGCAGGCTGGCACTCAATCCACTGAGCCATACAATCCAGGGCCAACCCTACATTTTTTTTAATCAGAGTATTTTAAATAGGAAAAATAAATTTATTAAAATAAGGTATAACTTTTTTAACCCTTACTGCATACACATACAAAAAAACCATAATATTTAAACTCCACACTCATATGAATCAAAAGCACCTGACATAATTGTCAATCCTATATGTTTTTTTCTTTTCATAAAATTTACATACTATGTTTATTGTTTTATAGGTATGTCTTCAGGAATGTGATAAACTGACACAATTAAAATATTGGACATTGATCTTTTTAAATCTAAAAATCATTTTATAATATCTAAGTCCAAGGTTAGCCGCTATTTGTCTGATTTGTTTAAATATTTAAAGAAGGCAACATCATGTGAAAACAATTTATCAAAAGATATTGAATTGGTAGTAAGAGATATAATATTTTCTGAGCTAAAACTAATGATAGTCAACTAGAATATGGTACAAGAGACTGGAAATGTTCAAGAATCCAACAGGACTGACATTGGGGAGCAGCAGTGAGTGGTGACAGCAAAGGAAGGGGCACGTGGAAGGAGCCTCGTCCAGGACGAAGAATGTGGTACTCCAGGTGTTTCCCTGTGGCATAGACAGACAACCTGGCAATATTAAGAAGGTTGATGTAAAATTTGTATTACAAAGCAATGTTCTTCCTAGCAGGTGGAGCATGGGTACAAGAATTTCAGGGCAATCTATATTTGGAAGATCAAATACACAGGCAATCTGTTGGCGTTGAGATTACTTCTCGGCATATGTCAAGCACAATTAGTCAGTCTGAGTTTACAAGTCTCAATAGGGAAATTTATGAAAACAAGACAGAACTAAGGCCATTGAATAAAAAATAATGGTGGGAACTGACTGTGGGAGAGGGGTTGGGGAGAGGGATAGGTGGAGGAGGGCAAAGAGGGAAAAATTGAAACAACTGTAACAGAATAAACATGATTTTAAAAACTTCATATAAAAAGTGTTCTAGGAAAAAAAATAGTGGTGGGGAGAGTAAGAGAAATTCAACTTTAGAAACCAGATCAAAAACTCAAACACCCAAACTGAGATAAAAATTAGATCACAAGCTCTGAATTAAAGGATTATGTGAAAAGTAAAAAAACATATGACCTGGACATTTTTGCTTCAGTGATGCCATATGATTACAAAATGAATCTACTAATTTACCTAACAATTAGTTTCATGGTTGGCTAGTTTTTTAAGACTTTTAGGCAGATATGGGTCTCTGATGTTGATGCTCCTCGATAAATAGAGGTTACCTTCCAAACAAGAAAACGTTGTAAAATTCTGCTGTTGCTAAAATGCCCAAAGCCCCAGCCTGTGCCTCCATCTATAACCCAGCAAATTTGAATGATGTGAAATTCAACTTGCTTCATTCAAATTAGGGAAGAGCCACCTATAACCTCCTTGTACCCTTTGGAAGAAGTTCCGCAACAGGAGTGCACAAATGTACAACTTGAAACTTTGTCCTATAAGGACAGTATCTCCATCTCTTTGTGCATTAACATAGTTTTTTCCTTAAATTAGTGCTTCATATCCCTTGAGGAAGAAAGCCTATGTTAGGTGGTGCAAGCTTTAGATGAGTATACAATCTTTATAGGAAAATCTGTACAGCTGAGTTAGACCAAGCACAACCTCAGCACCAGCTGTTGGTTCTTCTCTTGTTCTGCCACCTGGTCCCCAGGGCCTCCCGTTCTGACATCCCACCCAAACCTCATCGCCAGACCGCAGGCAGTGTCCTGCTGACCCTCCCTGATGCACCCTTCTCCCAGACCTCCTATCATCCTTAGTGGGCCAACGGGAGAGGAGACACAGATTAAATACACCTACACCTAAACTGTGAAATTTTTCTGGTTTCTTACATGATTCTTTGCTTCAACATTTCCAGATAAAAAATTCTTCCAAAAATGTTGATGGCCGTAGGCCCAGAAGGCAAAGAAGCAGGACCTGGGTGAGCCTTTACAAAGCCATGGCATGCCACACAGTAGAGATCCCCAATGTCCCTTTTAGCTCAGGCCAGTGCATGTCCCTGAGCCCTCTCTCAGTTCTAATCATTCCTGGTATTGAGAGTCCATGAAATTGAACACAACATAATAGTTCTGCAGCTGACCAGGGCACCTCCAACACACACACACACACACACACACACACACACACACACACACATCCCAAGCTTACCTGTTTTTTGGTATGTTCATTGTATTCTCCAGGAAGATTATGTGCACTTTTAATTAAGGTTTTTGCAATATGATAATAATAAATGCTAATAACTGCAAGGGGTATGAGGAAATAAACCAAGAAGATGAGCACTGAATGAATTTTTGGATGTAATTCATCAGTCTGAGGGTAGGGTATGCACGCCGTAAAGCTGCCGTTATCCAAGCTATCAATTTGCACCACTTCGGAAAACACCGCTTCCGGAACAGCCAGCAGCACAGAGACCACCCAGATACCCACAGCCTTCGTGCAGGTCCACAGCAGCGCCCCCGAGGTCTGGACGTCCATAGGGTTTACGATGGCTCTGTACCTGGGAAGATAACAGTGTCTCAAATTACTATTGGGAAAGAAAAAGAAATGAAGTGAAAGAGAAGGAGGGCGGGAGGGCGGGAGGGCGGGCGGGAGGAAGGAAAGAAAAGAACTCTTACTTGCTTAGAGAGAGAGATGCCAACACTCCACCACTCCCTGTTCTGTAGTGCAGGCAATTACCTAAGATCCCCGGTTTCTCTGTCTGAAAGTCATTCCCCTGCTTATTAACACAGAAGACGGGGAGGCAGAGGGAAATATCTGAAATTGTCATTTCCCAAATTGCATTAATTTGCTTATGCTTTCACAAGTTTTTTTTCCTAAATCAACACATGCTCCAAGTGTCATGATTTATTGAATACATTTAATTACTTTTAATTTTGAAAAATCTATCACTCCTGTAATTGCTATAATACACAATAACCACAAAATAGAAAATGCCCACAAAATATTATTAAATTCCACCTTGATACTCTTTTTTTAGCTTATAAGCCTGAGTCACCCACTTTTTTCCTAAGAATATCATATCAGCACATCTTAGAGACTCATCCAAACTGGGTTCTTCTCCATGAGTTAGTCATAAGGGCTGAAAGAAATGGAATAAATTTCTGTCTTTACATCTCAAATGTATTTTATGTGGAGACCTCATGGAATTCTTTCTCCTCCCACCAGACACTGTCCTAGTGTTAAAGGGGCCCCCAGGGCATACTGGCTTCAGCGATCCAAACCTTCGACAGCCAGCTCGACCGCACACATTAGGGCACTGATAATGCAGACAAACCAAACTCGTATGGGAGTCTCAAATTATCTGCACTTATCTTGGAAAATACCTCAGGTTACAGTATACCTAGGAGGTTAACAAGATGCAGTTAAAAGTTATTTTAGGCAAACAAACCTGAGCTATTATCCCTGATAACTGCTTGAAAATCACTTGAGGTCTCCTCTTCCTCTGGGAAAGGTAATAAAAATCACCTCCCTCAAGGTTTTATGATTAGAAAAAAATGTGTAGAGCACTGGTTACAGTGCCTGGAAATTAGCTGGTACCTGTCATGACCCTGTCCCTGCTCCTTATTTACAGTTCATTTAGTCTGCTGTTTTAACAGTTCAGAGTATTTCAAGCTGCATATTAGGCAATTAAGGTCTTCTTCTGAGCTTCTATGAAGATGCTTTTCATTTCCCACAAGGGAGCAAGAGCTTGCAGCCTCAATCCCACTCTGAGAAAAGCCTCTCTCTTTTCCAGCTTGCATCAAAGTGTCATCCCCAGACAATAGGAAAAAGGTCATTTGCATTTTGATCTGGAGGATCTTCCCATGTGAAACAGGAAACATGAAAATTAGAGCAAGAGCAAAGGGCCTCAACACCAAATTAAGCAAAATAGCACACATCATGCGTTTTACCCAGACTTCACACAGAGCAGAGCTCAACAGAGCTCCCTTCTCCTATTCTAATTGTATATTCACACAAAACTTAAAGAATCACAATCAGTAATTTAAAATGAGCTATTTTTTTCTAATTTTTAATTTTTTTATCAGATTAATAATGTTCAAAGAGGTTTATCTGTTTGTTTTTGAATTCAGAGAGCACTAAGAGTGATACAAAAAAAAAAAAAATACAAGTCTCGTGTTATATCTCAGGCCCTGGTCCTGAGTGAAAACGAATTTCACATCATTTCCTCCATATACGTAAGAAATGTAATTCTTCCATCGTGTCCTGAATCAAATATTATAGACATTAGCTCTTGACATCCTGTTAACGGTAATTGAAGATTTTCTCTCTACTACCTCTAGTCTCCCCATTCCCAACTTCCAGGTAAGTTATATTGTTTATAAAATAGTCAATAGTCAATAGATAATTATTATGACTAAACAAATACCACTCACTGCAGAGTTAAGTAGTATATTATGACATTTTCTTTTTTATATACATGGCTCTGATTTTTCAAGAGTTGCTACTTGATAATTTTTTGGTTGTATAATTTTCCATTTACTTGAATTTGATTCTTCTCTCAATTTTATTTTGCCACCTTCCTGAATAATTGAAGTCCGAGTGCTTGAATCTCAATTCCTCTTCTTTCTTAATTTTTTACTTTATCAAACGCATCTGCACCTTCTTTGGAGTTTTATTTTCTAAGCTGTCATATTAGCTTTAGCTTCCTTTCATCTGAATTGTTTATCATAATTTTAAATTCTAGAAGTTCTTTCTAGTTTTATAGTTATTACATAGCTATGGAACTAATACAGAAAATGTTTAGCTTCTTTCTCCTTCTAGAGGAGTTTCAAGTTTTATGTTTTTGTTTGATTACTTTATTCTGGAAGTTCTCCAGAAAGGTTAGATATTTACTGCCCGACAAGTCATATTTAAGATCAAAGTACTGAAAAACTGATTATAAATTCTTTTGTACGTGGAGGAAGCAGAGAAAGACAGAGAAATTGGGGTGGGAGAGGAGGCTGCTGATCACTAGAAATGGACTAGTTAACTAGCCTTCCATTTTAGACTGTCAGAAACAACAAAGAATATTCTGAACTTTTTTCCTTCATCGATTTAAAGGGGAGGGATAGGTCACTTCCCTACCCTCACTCCTATCCCAGAGCTAAGGGCATTTGCAGAAGCACTATAATCATAAAGAATGTTGGGGACAGTTCAAATAAGAATAAAAATCATGACTGTCTCATCCTGATAAGATTGCCATAGTAAAGCTAGCAACATACAGAGTTTTGGGTTGAGGAGAAGTAAGAATGCAGGACAAGGTTAGAAAAGGCATTTTTCAGTAAGGATGATTCTTAGCCTCTGCAGGAAAGGGAAAATGGATCCCATGAATTCTTCACTAAATGATATACATTTGATCAAAAAGAGAGTATTTCAAACTCTATACAGCCAGAAACTATAGTTTAAAACATGGGTTATTGAAGTGTCATTATTAGTACTAAACCAGAGCTTACATCTGTCAGATGATATGTTATACACAAACCTATGTTTCATGTGCATCTTTGAAAGAATAAAAAGTAAAAAAATATATAGTGCAAATTAAGGTAGACATTACTAATCATGCTTCCTTTAAATATTTATGAAAATGTAAGACTGAAATATTCTCAGTATAAAAACTATCTCATTAATTTAGTAGCATAGTAGGTATGTATAAAAAAAGTTTTTTTCCTTTCATATAGTCTCAAAAGTTATCCCTAACTGAAAACTAGAAACTAGTCCATCAAAATTCACATAAAGAGAGCATGATCATTATTTACATATTAAATATCAATAAATAGATATGCTTCTTCATTAATGTCTGTTTTGAATCTTGCTTATTATATCTGAATACAGTCTTAATTTAATGTAAAGAAATAATGTAATCATATAACAAAATATATGAAGAAAATTAGATAGTTTTAACTCATATACAGTTATGAAAACATCTCAAAATATCCATCTATAAATTTCTGCAAAGCTTTCGAGTTATACTACCCATAGATCCTTCTTTTATATCAAATTTCATTTATCAGAAGCTAACGAAGTCCAAGTGTGAATTATCTGGCAAGTCGAGTGAAGAGTATTGTGGAAGCAAGAGAAAAAGAGAAAGCAAGAATTTCAAAAAGTGTAGGCCTCTGTGTCAAATACTTTAAAAGCAGAGAAAAAGCTTCTTAGTCGAGGGCCTGTGTCTTGCTCTCTGCTCTATCGTAACACATAACACAATGCCTGATCCATAGCAAGTTCTCAGTAAATGTTCACTGAGCTAATAAAGAAATACGGCCTCAGCAACAAGGAGATGACTTTCTTAAGAGCAGTCGTGGTAGAGTGGGATGGCGGTTGTTGGCAATTAGGTTTCCTTGAGTGTGGCAGTGAGAGGGAGAGACAGTCTAGTCTCCTGATGCCCAAGCTGGGTCAGTCTTCTGAATCAGCCAGGGAACTGAAAAAAAGAGAGTATTAAACTGTTTCCCAGTCTCACTGGCACAGAGTGTCTATGGTGTAAAAGGAGAGGTTCGGCATTTTATCAGATTTTCAAGCGATTTTGAATATAAGCCAGGTTTAGAAAACCCCTTTTGCAAAGGTTGACTGCAATAGTGAGCATCTTTCCACGGGCTTCCTGCAATGGGTGCACATGCAGCGTCCTAGAGAGTATTAGAAATCCAGAGGAAGTTCAGTGTCTGAAGAATCAGATGCCTGGCTTTTACAATATATCATATCATATTTTAAAAGTATTGATATCCTGTAGTGGTAAAATTTATTCTGAGTAAAATTACTAAATTTATCATTTAAAAATATCTATGCATTAGCATACAACAGAATGGCTAAGACTATAAGTAACCTTATTGAAAATATTGTAATATGTGTATTTCGCTTTGAAAAGGATGAAAGACACCTTTCTCATTATAGAGGGGTCAGCTATTCTAGTTGCTCTTTACCAGAACAAAAATCACGTTGTTCTTAATTCATTAAAAAGCATGACCTAAACTGCATAAATGTTTCATAATGAGGATAGTGATAATGACAATTTATGTTGATGAAGGCAACAGGTGGGAACTAGTCAGTCTATGATTAAAGGAATTGAGAAAAGGCTATAGGTGACAGAAAGACTGTCATTATTAGTTTTACAATAGGCTCATTTTGCTCTCCTCTTTAATGCCTATTTTCTGAAAATTAACTGCATGTGTGAATAAATACTGATTTGAATTAGTGAGTCATGTGTCATCTTGACACATAGATAATATAGTAGAAGTAGTCACACAGCAACCCACAGTTTAAAATGCTTTCACATTAATTATTTCATTTGATAAAATAGCCCTATGCTGCAAAACTGTTTAGTGTGCCCATTTTACAGTAAAGTGTATTGAGAGTAAAGGATTACATGACATTTGAATGATTACAAACCTAGCAGCATACACTGCAGAATTCACTCACATGTTGTGACTAAGAATCCTATATATTTTCAATTTTAATGCGACTGAAGCATTAAATGCTTTATCTACTCTACCCAGTTTTAGACATTTGATCTCCTGTCTTTTAAAAGTC